TCTTCGCCGTTCTCGGGCTCGCTCAGGTCGCTGATGTCCGTGTAATCGTCCTCGTCGCTGCAAGGGGTTGGCACTGCTTTCTAGCGCGCACAGGCCCGACCGCCTGCGCACCGCCCACAGCGCCGGCCTGGCGCGTGTCGGTGGGAGGCCATCTCACAGACGAGCAGCCGCTTCCCCCGATGCCGCACAGACGGCGAAACGTGACAACCACCCGCATCCCCACATCGGTGGACATCAGCCAGTGAAAGACACGTGCGCGTAAGACGCGTCACCGCAACGCCCACACACCACTCTCATGTCATTGGGGCTTTACGACGCACTCAGCTGCTGAGGCTATATGGCGTCGCCTGCCTCTCACCCTGGCAGGAAGGGCGGGCACCGCGGGAATCGAAGCCCCGCACCTCTGGTTTCCCAGACGCGCAGTGGCCTAACGCAGACGCATGGGCCGCTGCACTACCAGCGCCCCCACACTCACCGCCACTCTCACACCATTCGTAACCAGGCGCGCCTCCTGGTCCCCTCATGATCACCATCTCTGAGAGCACGCTTCCGTCCGATCACGGCCCCGAGCCGGCGTCGGGCCGCCGCCGCGGGGCGCGCGCGCGCCACCGGCGTACCTGCCGATGTCCGAGTCGCTGTAGGTGTCGGCGTTGGCGGCGGTCGGGTCGGGCGGGCTGGGCTTGGCCGCCGCCTTGGCACGCGACTTGGCGTCGGCGCCGGCCGGCGGCGGCTCCACCTTCCGCGGGATGCCGACGTTCTTCAGCACGCTGCTCGGGTCGCTGTTGAGGAAAGTGGGCGGCTGGTGCGGCGCCTGCGGGCGGGGCTCGGCGTCAGGCGCTGGCAGCAGGCGCACCGAGCAGGCGCACAAGGTCACGCGAGGAGAGCGGCGTAACACAGAAGTCCGGTGCAGGCGTCAGATGCAGGGGCGACGCAGTGTGTCAGACGCTCGGCATGTCGCCGGGTGGTCTCACAAACAGTCCGGACGCGTCTCACCTGATACCGCGGCCTGACGGGCGTTGTCTGGTGGTCACCAGAGCTGTTGCGCGTCACTGGCTCCAGCCACACCTCCACCGGCTGGAGGCGCGGTGAGTCAGTCGGCGCCTCCGCCGCCGGCCAATCGTCCTTCTTTCGCTTCGGCACCGCCTCCGGCAGCTTGGCCGAGTCGCCGAAGTCGCACGCGTCGCGGATGCGCTTGCCGTCCTTGGCGGCCGGCGAGCCGGCCGCGGCCGACGGAGGGTAGTGGGGCGCGCGCGGCCGACGGCGCCGGCGCCGCAGCCGGCGGCCGGCCGGCCGGCGCCGACGCCTGGCGCCGGCGCCGGCAGCCGCGCGGCGGCGGCGGCGGGCGCCGGCAGCCGGGAGGCGGCGGCGGGCACCGGCCGGGCAGTGGGCAGCGGCGCCGGCGGCCGGACGGCGGCGGGCAGCTGCGGCACCGAGCTGGACGACCGCAGCTCACGCGTCAGGCGCACCGAGCACGGCGCCAGGCGCGGCTTGAGGCAGACGGCCACGCCACCGGCCGGCAGGCTGAGCTCCGAGTGCGCGCGGCTGGCGCACGGGCCGCACGTGGCGCCGCACTGCAGGCACCCTATGCAGGTGACGACGGAGGCCGACATGGCGCCGGCAAGCGCCGCAACTGCCGCACAAGAGCCGTCCGTCACTGGTGTGGATGTGACGATGGCCATGCACGTGGATTAGCTGATGCCAGCAGAGGTGTGACATGGTACCAAACTCTTTTAACTGTTTACAATACACAGACAAGTTTTTGAAAACACTAAATATATTTCGGACTGAAGTGCACACATGTTATGCACTCTTTGATACACCTTCAATAAAGCTGAACATGAGAAATGAATGAAGCAAAACTGGCTGAAAATGACATGAGGGTGCCCTGTTTGTGAAATTAATATGAAATGACTATCATTAGAAGTGCTGTCCATATTCTGTTAGTCAATGTTGTGAAGCTGCATCAATATTTGATGGAAATGAGCAATTTGATGTCATGGCAGAAAGGGCATGTTACATCTGAATGTATCTTTACATGTAAGATATGCAACTTCTACCATACAGGGAATCATGCTTATAAAGGAAGAAAACTGGAAAATGAAACAAGTGGGACATATGAGGATCTTTTAGACATACTGTACATAGTCCCAATAGACTTATCATGTGTCAGATATGGCAAATGACACAAAAAAGGATCGAGACTGCCACAACTTTTGATGACTTATTAATTGGTCACTACTCCACACTGCTCCCCCCCCCCTACAATGCAACATTTCATGATAATGATAATCATGTCCTTCCATGAACTTGCTGATATTAAGCATCAGCAAGAGCACAATATTATGACACCAAATAATCATTTACCTTAAGAACATGTGTCATAGATGAGAATGTGGTGTTGCATAACCCTCAAAACACCAAGGCATCTACATGTGGGAGTGACTTTGTCATGCCAAATAATGTGAGCCAGGCAGGCTGGGATTAGATCTGCTATGTACCAAATCAAACCAAAGTTTTGAAAGGTAAATGCAGGTAGCAAATTAAGTTTCAAACATCAATAACATAAATTTAAGTTATTGGAAAATTGCAATAAACTTAAAAATTATTGATTTACAATATTACTTAACTTGTTCATGTCATTCACACATGCAGTGATGCTGGCTGGAAATGTCTATTTATGAAGTGTACATGATTTTGTTTTTTAGATGTAAAACCTGACAAGTCCTGGCTGACATCAGTTATGGCCTGTGATGTCATGTCATAAAAAAACAGTGCAAGCCAGTGTTACAATGGGTCATCCAACAAATCATGAACTAACCTAGCTACATCAATAGGAAGAGCATCATTAAAAAGGCCCTTAATGGGTAATGATATTGTATGACCTTGCAAAGACAAAATATGGCCACAAAGGCTAAAGATTGACTGAGCTTGACTTTAATAACCTAACATTCTAAAGACAGCTAGAATGATTGTGATAAGCTCCATGTGTGTAAAATTACATAAAAATGTCTAGAATAGATCTATAAGTATACTTCCTGCAAAAACATCCAGTATGCAGTTCTAATTTTGAGGAAGACATAAATGAATTGTCTTCAAGAAATATCACAGCCATAGCTAATCATGTGATAATGGTTAGAAATACCTTGCTTCCACACGCAAAGCAGCTTTTAAAACCATGAGAATTCAACTTTGACTAAGCTGATACTGATTTTCACAGCTAAACCCTACCTGGAAGTATGACCATGACACATGTCCTGCCCTTTCTACCATGCAACAAGATTTTCTGAGACAAGTTGTGTACAAATTTAAATGGGATAACATGCATTAAACATACTGTTCTTAAATATCACTGTGCATCAATTTGGCATGACAACTGATGAGAGGCTCAGGTTATGATTCTGAAAACATTATCCTCTATGAGAGGCTAAGCAAAAGGTACAACACAATATGTATCAGCATATATGGAATAATGCTCTGATAAAAATATCATCATTATTTCCATAAGGTCAACAAAATTAGACAATCATTAATAATCTGGTGGATACTCATATTCCAAAGTAAACATAGCCAGTTTCATCAGCTGGTATTCAGGAAATGAGCATCATGGTAACACTACTTATGCTACTACAAAGCACACTTTATTGCTAAGTTTGTCAGATCTGACACATTAATATCTCAGGCACTGTAGTAAAATCCTACTGCTGCACTAATTATGCTCCAAAGTTCATGTTACACATAGACTGCTCATCCAGAAAGCATGGAAACCCAACTAACACTGAAACTTGAATAAAAATATGGTATTAGGTATCTAGAAGCAGATTAAAATTGAACCTGATCAGCACAGATGTTATCACTTATGATCCACCCCAGGCAGGGTCTTCAAATTTTCAGATATGGTTAAATTTGTGTTAATTTAGCCACTAACACCACCTAAAATACACATCCAATGGTTACACACTCCAGTTAAAACCTTAGGCAGCCAACTAGGTTTCCTCATTTAGTGCGGTTTTATATTTTGGATAGACGTTATCCACAAAATTTTCCATGCTTATCACTACTGCACCACCCTCGGGCATAAGATACCCTGACCTTGACCCCAAGGCTTCTGTAGCTATGCGTGCGTTCCGGGCTCGAGATTGACGAAGCATCGCCGTTTTCGTCTACGTGAACAACCATGCCGCCAGCTCTCCCTTCCTTAGGCACATACAGAGGAAAACAGCAGAGATATTATCAGCCATGTAAATCCCTTTACCTCTTACGCCTGCGAAGTGTACAACAACGATTTCGCACCCAGTTTCCTGCAAGAACACTTGCCCCACCACAGCCCACAAACGCGCGCAGACAACCAAGCGAAGCGGAAGTTTCCGTGCGACGCGAATGTTCAATGTGTGATACCAAATTACTGCCATATTATACAAAATGTGTAAAAGGTACATTTGAACGTTTCGCTATCGCGTGCTTCAAGGAAATGGCAAAAACAGTGTCGCAGTCAACATATGCAAAGATAACAAAATGTCATCCGGAAATGTCGTAAGCCAGGATGTAGCTTTGCAAAATGAGCTGGATGGGGGGGGGGGGGGTGATGAGAGAAACTACTACTGATCCCACCCTAAAAATACACCAACAAACAGATTGCAGCACGAATTTGGCCCCCCGGTCTCTTTTCAAATTGGGGCCTGACCCCTTAATTAAATGAGGGGGGCGGCCGGAGCTCCAATTAAGTAGAACATTTTAATCCTGGTTGCAGGCCTTCACGTCAGTGTTTGAGCCATAAAAATAGATATCTAAAGCCATTGTTGCTATATTTGTGCTCCTTTCGGAGTAAGAATAGCATAGTCATGATCGTCATAGCTGATGTACTAAGATACCGTAGGTCAACAAAGGTCAACACGTACCGCGGTGAAATTTTGGTTTCATTCGGGCTATCATTTGCTGCCATATCAGCATTTTGTGTACATTTATGGCGCAGTTTTGATCGTAAACAACTGCTGCGCTGGGTGGTAACTGGGTGGTGCTCCGGGTTGCGTCCTTTTATTTTCGCCAAATATTAACCGCTTCGTTGCGACTGCACTAAGCACCGATTTGGTGAGAACCGAAAGCCCTATCTAGAACTGGTGTTCCGTTTTATCGGATGCATGACACGTGTCTGTCGTAGCACACTCGGGCACTCGCTACACGGTGGTAATTATGTGCGTTGTTTCGTCTTCTCATTTTAATGCCAGTGTTTGATACCTGTGTAAAATTTACTAGGGTACGTAGCGGTTGATGAGGCTTTTTTAAAAGTAAGCGCACAGCAGCACATGTGCCAGGTTAAGACATGGTGTTTTTTCATAGCATTTCTGGCCAACTGCAACACTCCTCAGAACAGCATGCCTCTTAAGTTCTGACTCACTTGTGCATTCGCCTGATCTTACAGACATTGCCTGTGGTCACATGTTAAAGCTTTGCAATATATTGTTCATTAAGGGCTATATTATATTGCCCATTTATGAGCAGTTTCCTTCACAGCCAGTCTGCAAGGCATTATAGATGTTGATGAGATCTGGTATGTGCAGGGTTTGGGCAAGAATTTGTAGTATAGACATACTTTGAAAATTTTGGGCAGGAATGACAGAACTGGAACATTGGCTTGGTTGTGAAATTGTGAGATTATTGTTTGCTTTGATATGTTTGTAAGTGCTTCAAACCACACCTTATTGAGTATTTCAAAACATTAAATTATAACTTTAGTATCATTCTGACCCATCTTGGACAGAGCTGCAATGATAGTAATTGATTCATTATGTGCAAATTACATGATCAGGAAAATCAGGGCCCCCCTTCCCTGGTCACCAAATATAATCAGCCCCAAGCAGAGATGCCTGCCTGATTTGGAGTGTCATAGGACCTGCCTCAAATATCTTGCTGACTGGCTGGCTCCACAGTGATCCTTCCAGCCAGAGCATAGCTTAGCAAAATAATGTGGAGATGAAGGATAGCAGCAAAAATTTTCCAGATGAAGGGAATGAGAAGCTATAATCATGCCTTGTTGTACTTTGATAATCTCATTAATTTAAGAAGCAGGTTATGTATTTTGTTTTTTTAAGCTACCTTGAATCGTACTTTATTTTAAAATTGCAGCACTTGATGATGGTTCCATCAGCTTGTGTGTTTTTCTGTGGTAATTACATGTATCAATTTGTTATGCCTGTGGTTATCAGGTGATATATGCACTAAGAGAGTGTGCATCAAGCTGATGTATCTCTTAATAGCATTTTTTAATGTGTGCACCATCCAGTGTACTATCTGGTAATATTTTCCCACAAGGCTGGCCAATTAGTTTGTTGCTCATATGGGCTCATAATTTGTGGTCTTCTATGCATGCCCACTGTGTTGACTGATTCTTCTAAAGCAGACTTTCACACCAGTTGGCTAGCCTATAGCAAATAAACTAGGTGTGATATCAACAGATGAAACAGTGGCAGCTGTTTTGTCTTGCTGAGGTGTAGGAGCATGAAGTGCCTGAAGCTTTCAATAACCATGTACCCATACATCATGAAAAACACTCATTGAAGCTTTCCATAGCTATGTACCCATATATCATGAAAAAACACTCATTTCATGAATTATATGTGACATACATAATGGTTTGAGCCAAAGCTATAGGACCATTCATCTTTGCACCACTGCACATGTTGGTCCTAATTTTTGCTAGATGTTCATATAGATATTACCATGGGCTAGGTACCAACAGAGTTGTTTGAACACATGGATCAACCTCTGTGATGATCCATAGCAACAGTAAAGATAATGCACTCCTGGCATCAGTGTTGGTTGTAGTGGGTGAAAAAGTTCCATGTTTTGGTATTATGGTGATTAAAGGCATGCTTTCCACATGTGGAGGGGCAGGGGGATGAAAAGAATGTTGAAATACCAAGTAGTCAGAGTGAAAATGGTGAACACAAGATCCATGTTGCAGCCAAATAACAACTACTTTACCCAGGATTAAACAGGAAGTGCAAGTCATAAGTTACACTTTGCACAACCAGCCCTTAGTTGTAGCCCTTGTGTTTGTCACACATCATGCAAAGGCAGCCTCCAAGCTATTAAACTCTGTTTCCTTGTGTCATATCCAGCATAGCCCACCATTCTGAGGCAATGGACATGCTCTTTTCAAGAATGCATATTTTCTCAAGGAAATAAGATGAGAGACTAGAGAGGATGTGCAGAAAATGTTTCAATAATATCAGCTGTCAAAATGGATGGAGTAAGAAGGGATGGTTAAGTGCAAGTCATGTAACACAAGGCTGGGACACATGGCAGCCTTTACTGCCCTGTGGCTTTGGGGCAAGTCAGCCATATTTCAACAAAACACTGATACAGGTTCAAGTAAGCTTCACAAGGGGAAATGATCCTCCAAGATGTCCCTAAGGCCAGAGGGGCCAGTTTGCATGCTGCAGCCTGTCATGCTCCAGTATGCTGGTGGGGGCAGAAGCAAATGTGGGCATGGATGATGGGTGACACTCAACATATTTAGGCAGTCAAAAGGAATGTATGCAAAGTCTGGAGCCAGCATCTGCAGTCCAGATTGCACCAGATATCCAGGAATTTGGTAAGTTCCCTGCTGGTTGCTGATTTGAGCACTGTCTCCCCAAGGGAGTACGGAGACCAGCCGTTTGCGCCAGTGCTGCCAACATGGGAGGAGATCAGTACTGTACCTGAGTGTCTGAGGCAGATCCTGCCGCACACCCCTCCACAAACTGTCCCAACAGGAGAGTAGGTCTTTTCGTCAGACCCACCCGCAGTTCACTCCAACAAAGAAGCTCCTGGCACCGGAGAGATCCGAAGAGAGACGCCGGAGCGTGCCAAGTGATGGCAATCTCCTAAACGTACCGCAGCTACGACCAGTGGAAGGTTTCTGGGTTTTGGCGAGGTAGCAGGTGTTTTAGGAGATATGGGGCCGGGTGACGGAATGACCAGCAGCTGCGGCACCCAACAGTGGTGCTGAGGCATTGGCGAAGTTTCAAAGGACGATGCGGAGGAGCCGTGCGCGTGTGTCTGGCTGCGTACAGGGGGTCAAGAATTAGATCCATTAATGTGGACGTCGTCCGTACGCGTGCCTGCTCATGTGCAGAAGCTATCAGAATTATATGTTTCAGTTCAGCAGCACCGCCGTGCTTTCATTTTTGTGTGTATGTGGTTATCGCCCATTCGGTGCGTTCTCTTGTTTCAACAAGCCTAGCGTATTCCACTGCTAAGAACCAGGGTTGTAAGATCACTAGTTATGGGCAGTAGTCGCATGAGTGTGATATCCATGGATGTCCGCACTACAATTGCTGCTAAGAGCACCCGAGGCAGAGCTTCCACAAGCGTCCACTTCCAAACCGCCATATTCTCTTGTGGCGTTCTTACAAGATGAACTAGCATCGCCTGACGACGCGCTGCGCCGCTGCAACCGGAGGCTGTCGTCCGTCGGCAGGAGATGGAGGGGAGCGGCGCGGACGCGCAGGCGGATGACAAGTCCACGTCTCACTTCGAGTCGATGCTCAAGGAGCTGGTCAGCTACAAGCAGGTCGGCGACATGCACGACCTGTCGCCGGAGGTGCAGGTGCGGACGGGCTCAGACCGGAGGGGGAGGGAGGGGGCGTCCCCGACTCCGGCGGTACATTGTGGCACGTCTCGCGTGCCGTGATCGTCCCCAGGCTTGTTACCGACGCCTGGTCGTCTTCGGGACATCGGTGCTGAAATGAGACGGCGGAGCTGCGTCTTGAAGTTTTTTAAGTGAAAAGGCGGGATAAAAGTTAGGCTGCTTTCTGCCCCTCCCCCTTCCCCTTCTGGGGCACTGCCGTTGATTGAAGCTAGCATGATGTTTGTGTCACATGTTGGTCGTAGCTGCTTTGCCTTTTTTGTCACAGCCATCCTTCTCCAAAAACTGTGCAGTCGTCCGGCGTCCGCGTGTTTATGTTTTGTTTTGTTTTTTGTTGGTTTGTTTGTTCCACAGCTTTGATACGTGTGGGCTACTGTCGCGTTCCCAAAGAGTTGCCCGCACCAGTCTGCTAGTGTAACCCGATCGTCGTCGCTCCCGTAATATCATGGCAAGTGGGCTGTCGAGACAACTTATGTACAAGCGCGCAGGTGGCGCGTATAGCAAAAACTGGCCTCGATCTGCCAGCTGGACATGACGACAGGCTGCCGCGGCGACCGGCGCCGCCCTGGACCGGTCGCTGTGGGCCGGGTGTGGGCCGGCCGGCCCCCGAGCGCCGGCCGGCCGCCCTCTGACAGCGCCGTCCGCCGCGGCCGCCGCCAGGTGCTGCTGCGCCAGGCGGACGAGAGCCGGGCGCGCGAGGAGGCCCGCAGCGCGGCGCGCCGGCTGCGGGGGCCGCCGGCCGCGCGAGCGCCGCCGCCGCAAGGGCAGCGACTCGAGCGTGGCCGGCTGTACACTGGCTGGCGGCTCACTGGACAACGTGGCCGCCGACAGCAAGGCGGCCGGCCGCCACAAGGGCGTGGCTGGCCGCACTGCCGAGGGTGAGTGACGCCCGCCGCGGGGAGGGGGGGGGGGGTGGGAGCCCCGAGCCACGGGTGGGAGAGCCTGGTGACGTCGGGACGGCAGCGTATGTGGGAGAGCGGGCGGTGCCACTGGGAGGACGGCTGGAGAGGAGCGTAGAGAGTCGGTACCGTCTCAGAACGGGTGCAGAGCGAGGTCCGTTGACTAGAGCGACGTGTGGCGCACACCCACGCACGCTCAGTCGGAGTGATCGCTTGTTCAGGCTGGCTGCTGGTACTGCATGTTCACAAGTTAATTTTTCGGACTATGTTATAAACTGAGATTGTCAGTACCAGAATCTGCTGATTGAACCAGTAGGCAAAAAGGATCCAGGGTATGTGTGTCTGCTTTAGGTGCACTTAGCCTTACGCTCGTTTCGAACCCCGGCTGCTGCGTAAGGCGGTCCTGTTAATGTAACGAACGTATAGCCGCCACCTGCGGCTTATTTATCAATGTTCGAACAATTTCAATGCTCGTAGAATATTCCGCTTAACGGCCGGCATTTTGATTGGAATGCAACGGCCAGATGCATTCTAGCAATTGGGACGTGGCAACAATAAGACAAACGGAAAGCGTTGTTTTGATAATGCGAAAAGCTGTCACTGGCTTTTACTTACTAATTGGCAATCATCTAGTCATTTCGATCATGATCGAATGGAATGTCAACGTTTATAATTCAGTTACAGTTGAATTCCACCGGCGTCGGTATTCTTGCAGCGACCCGAAGGCCACAAAAGGCAGCTTCAACCGCAAAACGCTTGACCACAAACGGTAACTTGAAATGTCAGACGTGCATGCCATCACGAACAGTGAGTGTCCGGGCTGATTTCGCGGCGTGCACGCGTGCACCGCTCGTCGTGGACCTGCGGTGCTCAGTGGCGCGTCTGTTTTGGTCGCGCCCCGGCTCCTGACCTGCGCGTCACCAGCGCGGTCAGCCGCTGCGTCAGCTGGCGCCGCCGACGTCAACACCCCAACCAGTCGCGCGCGGAGGCATTCCCCCTCGTCTGATTAGTCAAACACTGTACCGCCTCGCGGGTAGTATGAGCGGGGCACAAACGCTCCCGCCCACACTGCATGTAACGCCTTGTAGTTGTTTACCTCAGCTGGGAGCGCTGCTCTGGCCTTGTACATGCTGTGACACGTGTTGGCGGCACTACTTTCGATGTCGGTTCCGGTCGAGACAGCTGGCACCTGTGCGAGCCGTATGTAGTGTGAAGTTCCTGTACTTCAGGGCTGCCCGCGCAGCTCAGTTGGCAGAGTCTCGGACGGTGACCTCCGCCGGCTGATATACTGTGGGGTCGCCGCCCACAGGTCGCGCTCATGGGACTGCTCTGATGGTTAGCATCTGACGCGGGGGGGGGGGGGGGGTGTTAAAGCGCAACAAGGCACGTCAAGATCTTCGTCACCAATCGTCCGTTGACTAGAATTGCACAATGACGTGCTGGGCGCAGGGTCTTTGCAAGAAACTACGATTAGCAAGAACTCGAACGTCGAAGTAAGTCCCTGCAATCGCTCGTCACTTTTATAAAAAAAACTCAGCTTTCTGTTCGGAGGGGCGCTGTGGTCACACGCGCGCGCGCCTAACGCGGCCTTACGCCAGACGTCACGAGAGGCGGTACCCGGTCTGACCCGGACATTTGCCGCTGGATGACTCAGGTTTGTTTCTTTGGGGATGACTCAGTTTTGTCTCTTTGGGGATGACTCAGCGCGTGACTTTACGCGACTGGCCGGCCGACGAGACGCCGATCCCATGTCGTTCTCCCGGTTCATAGCGCGGCCGGGTGTGGCGTACAGTTGCGCCACAGGCGCCAGCTCATTTTCACCAAGTCTTGAGGCGGTGTCACGCGAGCTCGCCGAGCGCCCGTCTCCACCGTGAACCGCTGCGGAGCCGGAGCGGCGACCCTGCCGGACGCGCGGCTGCGCTGGGAAGCCGCCGTCCGCGGCGGCAGGGTCGGGTCGGGGCGCTGGGCGCCGCGCCCGCTCGTGGCGCGCCGGTCCCCGAGACGGCCGCGCCGGCTCCGGCCGCGGCGCCGGCAGCTGGCTGCCGTCAGTGGCGCGTGCGCGCCGGGTGTCGCTCTGTTCTGAGTCGCCCCAGACCATCGGGGCACCTGTGCGCGCATGTGTGCCCGCGTGCGTGCAGGAGAGAGAAGGGACGTAGGACGTGCCGCTGTGAGGACGCGTCACGGGCGGGAGGTGCGCGACAGCCGCGTGGCGGGGCTCCGTGCGCACTGGGAGGCGGTCGCCTGCCCGGAGGTTGCCCTGGTGGGCTACCGCAACAGATGGCCGCGCATTAATTTGTATGCTCTCCTTGGTCCCGCGCGTCACGATGACTTGTCGGCGCGCCTCTCATGAGACCTTAGTCAGCAGCGGGACTGTGACGCGCCGCAGAACTATGACGGCAACCTAATGGATTGAACGTGCCGAGCGCACGGCGGCGCGGGATGGTATTCTGTCTGGACCAGATCTAAGAGTAGGCTCGATTTGTTTTCAGAGTGCCCGTCCCTCCTCTCCCAAGGGAGTGGCATCTCGCAAGCCGCCTGTGCCGGCTTCCAAACCAGCCCGTCGGAGGCTGCCGCTTGCGCTGAGGCGGCGGCGGCAGTCCGGCCGCGCCGGAGTGCTGACCCATTACCTGACCCGTGCCCCGCTCGGTAGGCGGGTCGTGCTTCAACCTGTCACGCGGCTCGTTCGAGCCGACGCGGCGGCGCCAGCGGCAGCAGCACGGCGGCTCGTTGGAGGACCTGAGTGCCATCGACGAGGCGGGCGGCGGCGCGCGCGGCTCGGCCGCCGAGGCGTCCAAGTCGGGCGGCAGCCTGCAGAACCTCAGCCAGGAGCTGGGCGGCGGCGAGGAGCGCACCCGCGACGCTGCCGCCGACGCCGACGCCGACGCCGACGCCGACGCCGGACGCGCCGTCGTGATCCAGATGGAGGACGACGACGCGGCGGAGGAGCCCGCGCGGGCGGCGGTGCGCGCGCTGGCGGCGCCCTGCGCTGGCGAGCCGGCCGAACGCGGCACCGGTCTGCGCGAGCTGCGCCGGCCGGCGGCGCCGCAGCGGCCCTCGCTCGAAGAGGGCGGCGCCGCGCTGCTGGCCGCCGCCGACGCGCCCGAGCGCCGGCCCACCGCCGCGCCACCCGAGACCCGCCACAAGCAGGTGAGCGCGCGCGCCGGCGCCGCGACTGCCAAGCCGGCTGTTCCAGTCAGGCCGCACGAGTTTGTGGTGTCTGGCCTGGCCGCCACGCTGACGTCCAGGGTTGACGCGTTTCATTAGGCGGCAGTGATGATGCTGGTGTGCTGGTCTTCGTCGGGGCCGGTGTTCACGAGTGCACCAGCAGCACCAGCGCCGGCTGCCTTCCATGAGCAGCCATACGTGGACTTGCAATATGTTGTTTGGGCGGGCATACCTGCGTCATGCTGTCGGCTGTTGGCCCGGTCTGAGTGCGGGTCACGGCCTGACCGGGACTGGCCTGATCTTACGATATGCCATTGTCCCCGGTGTTCGGGCACAGTTGTGGTGTGTCTGTCTGTCCCGATTGACCTGGCCTGACCCGACGTGACCTGACCTGGCCCATCGGCAGCGGCGGGCACCTGATCTGGCCGGCGCGGGAGGCAGCGCTGCCGCCGTCTCCGGCCACGCCAGCTCCGCCGCGGCGGAGGCGGCCGACGCCACCAGCGGTGAGTCTTGGCGGGGGACGGAGCAATGAGCGCGTGCGGGAGGGCGAGACGGCACGCGCCGCCGGCGCGGCCTACATCTAAGCGGCGCCACGCGCGGATGGCGGCCACCTGCTGCGTTGGTCGCCGGGAAGGGAGGTCTCCACGGCAGGCCAGTCTGTCAGTCTGTCGACAGCCAGAGTATCCGATGAGCTTTACTTCTGACAGGCTGTTCAGTACAGCGCCGGTCCGTGTGTGGGGCGAGCGCCGGGTAGCTTTCGTCGCGCGCGGTTGGCGCCTGACACAGCTGGGGACAGAAGCTCGGCCGCGCCGCTGTCGCCGGTCGCCGCGCCGCGCCGTGATGTATCGCGACCGGATCTGACTGTCCCGCCCGGCGTCGGTGCGGAACAGCGCCCCGAGCTCGAGCGCCGTCCCGACACGACCCGTCATGCCGTCTGCGCCGCGAGCGTGATGCCGGCCGCCGCTGTAGAGAACTCCGCGGCGCCGGTGGAAACGGCCGGTGCTGCCTGCCTGGCGCGGCCCCCGTCCCGTCGCCCCGCCACCGCGTCGTTTGTGGTGGAGGCGGCGCGGGTGTCGGGCGGCGGCCGTTCCGCTCTCGAACAGAAAGCGGTCGAACAGAAAGCAAGTACGGCACGTGCAGACACAGGCTGGACGCGTAGTTAAGCACGGTTGCCAAAGACATGCGAACTTGTGTTGCCCTTTCGGCGCGCCTGAAGTCGCATCCGAGGGGAATGGAATTCCCATCCGGGGGAACACGGGGCAGAAAGTTGCGCTAACATTTACCATTCGGCTCAAAGCAAAGGGGGCGTGGTGGGGGGGGGGGGGGGGGGGGAACGGGGCCTAAGCCGCACACGTGAAGCGAACGTGAGGGAGGGACAGAGTGACTGGTGACCTGCTCATTCGTGGCGCTGTGAACCGCCCCCCCCCCCCCCCTCCGCGTGTCGCCAGCGGCCGGGACAGCGGGCCGCGTGACCGGCGGCAGGACGCATGCGCCTGCCGGCGGGGCGAGGCCGCCGCCGCGGGAGGCCGGACCGTGAGCCCGGCGGCGGCGCGGCCGGCGCGCGGAGCTGCGGCCGCGGCATGTGACCTGTGACCTGTGACTTGGAACCTGATGGCGGCCTCTGTTTCAGGCGAGCTGTCGGCGCACCGCCGCAAAGCACAGGTATGGCCAGCTCTTCAGGCGGGAGGCGCTGGGGCAGCACGTCGTGCCTCTCCTCCATCCTCAAAATTGACGTCGGCTTGTGGTGTGCTCTGTGCGTGTTTGATTTCAAAAATACTTCGGTCTTCGCCCCCTCCCCCCCCCCCCGCTTTTGGAGATCCCTTCAGCCTGTGTCGTGCGCTTTATTTTTGGCCTGTCTGGTGCCCGTGTGGGGAAAGTTGTGGGTTTCGGTCCTTGCTTCCGGCCGCTGGTTTCGTCGTCCCTCATGGCAGCCGTCTGAAATGTGTCACGCCAAATGACCTCAGATGTCGAAGTTAACCTTGTTCGGCGCGGAGGCGGGTTCTGCTTTCGCCAGTGGTTTTCGGCTTGGTGCTCTTAAACGGCTCGTCGCAGCGTAACGACATTGTGTGGCTTCGTGAATTGATATGCATGTTTGTGTAAAAATTTGGAGGAAGGCAGTGTCCCGGCACAGGCCACTTTTTAGATGCTCTGTGCGTGAAGGGTAACAAGCACAGGTTTGTGTGCGACGTTGTAGTGCATTTTGAGGTAAGCTAAGGGCCGAAGATTTGTTCAGATGGTCATATGCGTCGTGACCGCTGGGTGTGCGCATAAGAGAATTGGCGAAGGCGTACTTTGTTACGGAAAGAAGGAAGGCGCGTTGGCGCATGACTGTTCATCACATTCAACACGGGCAGCTCAAGGCTGCTGTTTTTAGGGGGTGGGGGTGGGGGACGTACGCGTTGCGTGAAAGCAAATTAAACCAAAGGTGTACAATATACTTTCATTGCATTTATAACGCGAAAATGGTACATCTATCAATGCAGTGCTATGCCTACATTATGCTGGGCATGCATCTTAACCAGAGGCGCATTCCAGGGACATTGGGCAAGGCGTGTCCGTTTTCCCCGCGTTATAAGATGCCAACATGCATTGTTATGCGTGTCAGTTATTGACGACAATGAAAAAAGCGAGGCACACAGGTTGTAATAAGTAGATTCACGACTTTTAAAATGTTATTGTGAAGTGGCGTATACCGCACATATCGCAGTCCGCAGAGCGTATGCTTGAATCTGAATACCTATTTGCTGTCTTCTTGCCAGCTTCACTTGATCAGAGGGCAAGAAGTAGCTACTCTGAGTTAATATTGCGCGCTGAGAAGGACGTTGGTATGGTTCAAAGGCGGTGTTTTGCTGCGTCTGATGCGGCGGATTTCTTCGTCAAAACCATGACCGACATGTCAGCCTCATACGTGAGCAACAACCGCGCTTGCCAGTCCCGTTGGCTGGCGAAAACGTATTCTGTTCGAGCCGCGCCGCCTTGCTACGCGCTTGCGTGCCTGCTAAGCGCGGTAAGAGGACATGGCGGTCTAAGCAAGGAACATATGTAACGCGAGAAGGGTGAAAATGCTCGAAGTGGGCGTTCATCTTTGGCTTTTTCCCTGTCCGTGACAAGCGTCACGTGACGCGGTCGCGGCGCCGGAGCGGCTCGGCGCGCGATAGTGAGTCATCCGTTATCGGTCGAGTGCGGAGCATGTCTGCTTGGCCGTGGTGTGATAGCTGCTCGAGGCGTTATCTGGCCTTTCCCGGACCCGTGTGATCAGATCTTGCGCCGAACCCTCGCCGGGTCGGCCGGCCGTCTGTGGAGGCGGCCGACGCAGGCACGGCCTGCGCTCTCCAGGGTGCGCCGCTTCCAGCCGCGGCAAGCTCAGAGTACGGTCTGGAATAACCGGTTTGGGCATCGCGTAGCATTTAAGAAGGAGCTTTGGCTGCCGGAGTGGGGTTGTGATACACTGTTCATAGCGAGATCGCATGTCAAGGGAAGCGGAAAACAAGCGAGCTATGTTCATTTCGCGTCGAACAGTAATCTGTGAATGAACCGGTGGCACGACTGACGAACACTGACAGCCAGGGCCTACTGATCGCCAGTGATTGATCAATGGCTGTGGGTAGTGACTGGTCGCTTGTCACCCGGCGTCGCCCTGGAGCTGGGCTCGCCGCTGATGGTGGCGTGACGTCACACGCTGTGACGTCACTGGGCAGCGTCGGCCAGCGAGCGGTGCCGCTGAGCCACGCCCCAGCGCGCACGAGCGGGGGCGGACCTGTTCTGCCACGATTTCGCCGGTCGCTTCGGCCCCCCTCCCCCCCCCCCCAACCCAGTCCCTCGTCACAGCGCAAGCAGACCAAGCCGTGGTTTGTCACAGACGCACTTGTGTGTCGTAAAGGGGACGTCAGAAATACAGGATAGCCATGTGGAAAACTCAGGCGTTCCTAGACCACAGTTGGGATGTACCGGTGCTATGACGGATGAATTAGATGCAGGGCTGCTCCGATATTACACGTTCACCTAACTGCCGCCATTTTTGTGCGGTCACGGGGCCTGGGTCTGCTCGCTGTTTCCTGCAGGCCCTTATATGTTGCGATGTGAATGCAATGTGAATGCGTGTTGACTCGGGTGAAAGTCATTCTAAGCTGTTCGCTATTACCTGGCACATGTATTTGGTGGAAAATTTTGCAAAATCCATCATAAAGGTTTTGCATTGGGTGCGTTAAGTAAATTTAAATACATTGTTTTAAATGGGTAAAGGTGTTGTAGCGTGCGATTTTTGGGATTTTGCACCTGAAAACTATACAGAAAGCCAAACATCAATACCCTTAACGTTGCCAGCTTACGCTGCGCAATCTGCTGCCATGAAAGAAGGTGTTCAGGTGTTGCGTCCGGGCAGGGTGAGGGAAGCTTGATTTTTCCCGGTCGGGAAAAGGGTAGAAATGGGGGACACCCTTTGTTATCGTAAACATTCCCTGCCACAGAAGCACGCATTCACAAAACCAATAGCGTGATGACGTCATCTTGTATTGACAAGCTGCTGAATCCACGCGTTTCAGCGGCTAGTGATGCCGTTAATGCACCCGGCTCAGTGACATGGACAACCTAGGAAGGTGAAGAAAATGACATGATAAGAGTCTGAGAAATGAAGTCATAGACACGGGTTGGATAATATCGGCAATGCAATTGAATGGAATGGGGATTGCTCATTAACATTGAGTGTCTTGATATCACAGGCAGCCATGCTGTGAGTGGTATGCAGTTTTTCACGGTTTTCACTCGATATTATTGGAAAACCCGTTTCACACAGCATAGATCCCCGCATGGAGTTCATATAACATATTACACGCACACCGTATGAAGTATTTGCATTTTCCGCCATGAGTTATGGATGGTATTACACAGATGTCTCTGTTTAACGAGACGCAGTTGTTTTGCCCATGACTTCATCATTCCAAGTCTCTGCGGTCGTATTTACATAAAGAGAGCTTCCAGCTAAAGCTAAACAGCGTCCAATTTCCGCACCAGGCTCCGCCAGGCGTCAGTGGGTTGTCCATGCATGAACAACGAGCAATTTAAACTTGAACTCGGTAGAATATCGTGGCGCGCTGTGCTGC